ACTGGCAGGTTTTGATGTTCAGAGGGTTAGTTTGATTCATTTTTGATTAGTTTGACAGTTTTTCTTGATTGACTTGTGGCACATTGGGAGCAGTTTGTCAGCTCCTGCTCTACATGCTGATAGAAGCTTGTCAGTGCTGATTAGCAGACGTAGCTCATCCTCCTCTCCTTGTGTTTCCAGAAAGAAGAGAGGGTTTCGGCACTGCGCAACCAGCTGGCTGAGCGACAGGCTCTGCGTAACCGCCGCCGGCCCTCCACAGGCCAGAATCAGAACCACAACGCCCCGCCACCGTCGACCCAGCAGGATCCCAAGTCCCTCCTTCCTCCGCCCGGCTACCCCAACCCCACCACGGACAATCACTCTCTGCCGCCTTCCTTCTCCAACTCCTCCAACCTCTACCCGGCGGACAGCAAGATGAGCCGCAACCACTGTCACAACAGCCAGATCCCGCTGCTGTATAAATAGGCGAGGCGGGGAGGGCGGGGCGAGGGCGGCGAGGGCGGCGAGGGCGGCGAGGGCGGCGGCGGCACAGTGCACACAAGAGGACACACAACACAACGACACACTGTGGCTTCACTTTGTTGGGCCGAAGAGCACAGCGGTGTCGTGACACTGTTTAGAACACGGAGCGCTTCACACTCGGCAGCTTCAGGACTGACACCAGGGACACCATCCTCACAGCTCAGCCCAGAAACACTGCACCGCGGCGGGCGGCGCCTCAGCCGGCACGTCTCAGACTAGCTACACTCGAGGTGTTTGTCAAGATCACGTGAACGACAGATCTGTCAGCCATTCCTCTCCCTCATTCGTTCTGACACAGCAGACGTTTGTGTTTGTGTCTCTGCTGATCGTCTCCACATCCCGTCTCCAGCTGGTCGACCAGACCAACACATCCAGTAGTGATTGATATCGTTCTGTAGTGTTTGATCCGTTCTGTCATGGAGTTGTTGTTCTTTTATTTGTTTACGTTTCAGGAGAGTGTGAACACTGAAGAAACGGGACAAAGCAATGTACAGTTAGTTCAAGGTTTCCTCTGACCAGCAGCCCAGCGCGACTCTGGTGGACGCCGCTTTCACTCTAAAGGGATAATGTGCATTATTAAACAGCCATATGTTAGAAGGGCCAGGGACTCAGCATGTGTCAGGACTGTGTACTCGAGTACAGGCCTGCATTTTAATAGCCCACTTCTTTACTGATGTTCATAAATAGTCCAAGGAGACGATGGTGAGCGCCTGCAGATGTGCAAGGACACTTTTGATAGTTTGAAATGATGTGTAACAGGTATTTTATGAGATTTGTGTTGTATCTATTTAGCAGTGGAGTGCAGTAGGAGCCATCGAATAATCCCTCGTCCTGCATCACATGGATCCGGCAGAGAGGCCGGCTGCTGTCGCCACGACGGACGTGTTGTCGGTGTGAATAGAGGCTGCCCTACCACGTGACCACCTGTACGGACGTGAAGCTAGCGGTGGACAGCCTGCCCTGCTCCAGTGTGAGCACACATCGTCTGCCTGACTGAATCCTTTATCAGATGAAAAAAATGACTGCTAGCTGTGCCATTAGCATTAGCCTGCTAAATTAGCTTCAAACACAAACCTTGCTCTCAGAGAAACAAACTCGTGACAAAGAGACACTTCTTGCGGCCGATTTAAATCACAAACTCTGAGCAGAACCTCATTTGGACCCGTTAGCTGGGCTCAGTCAGTTACGATTGTGACGTATCGGTGTCAAACCGAGCCACCTCTGTGACGTTCAGCTCGATGAGTCTAAGCTCAACATATCTCACAAACTTTTTAGTCTTACTGCGTAGTAATAATAGTGATTTTTATTGATAGAGCTCTTATCAGAACCAAAGTGCTTCAGCTGCAGCAAACAGAACAGACGAGTCAGAACCCTAACCCGTCCAGACGGACATGAGCGCCACGTCATGTACAAAACCAACACGTGTTACAGAGGTCGGAACCTTATTTACAGAAAACAACAACAACAGCAAAGCTCTCTGATAAAAGTGTTGTAAAGATGTGAAAAGACTAGTGAACAGTGAACAGATCCACTTCCTCTGCTTGAGGATGTCAAAGTGCGTCCTGGTGCACAAGGAGCTGAAACGTCAGAAAGTAGAACTCAGAGGGGCTGTAGAAGTGAAACCACAGCCGGAGCTCATGTATAGAGCCACAGCAGCCATGTGATCGTGTTCCTTGGGCTAGAAGCCCGGCAGCTGAGTTCTGAACTGACTGCAGCCGGATTTTTTCTTCAGTCATGTAAAAAAAACTAACGAACGAAGCTCAAAGCTCACATTACTACGACCACAGGCCTGATACTCTGCAGAAGAGAACCACCTGATGTGAGAATATCGTCAGCAATAAGATGCAGTTTAATTACCAGCATTTTTCTGTGACACCAGTACCGCGACCAGTCCGAGAGCTCAGCACAGCAGACCGGGATCTACCTGGCAGGTGGACCCTCGGCGCAGCAGACCGAGGAGCGGCCTGACCCTCGGCACAGTCCGTCTGTGGTTAGGGTCAGTAAGTTATCGTTAGCATCTCAAAGGTAAGACATCAAGTGTTGGTGGTTTTCCAGCTAGCTGGGCTGCACGGGGCCCAACAGCTGTGTGCTCACGTTCGGTGCAGATTCTGGGTCAAGGTGGCAGCACCTGTTCCCACCTGGCCGTCTGAAAGTCAAACAGCTGCGGTCCTGTCCTGCGATGAGGCGAGGCGCTTGTCCGATGGCTGCTGCTGCAGGTACCAGACAAAGCACAGTTTCTTCCTCGAGCTTTTATACGTGTGACTCTATTAGCCGTCATTCTAGTACGACGTTTCTTTTTTCTTTCTTCGTGTTTCCCACAGACAGTCGGGAATGAGGCTTGTTTTTATTTGCTTTGGGGTCACTTTCAAATGAAGGTATACAGTAAGCAGCGTTCATTGAGCAGTTAATCTGGATGTTCTATTTCATTCATGAGCTATTTCCAGATTTCATAAAAGCAGTGATGCCTGAACAGCTCAATCATCAGGTCAAACAACACTGTCTGATCTTTTATGATGCGTGTATTCTCAGTGTGCACTTTAAACTGAACAAACTCTGGTTCCGCTTTGTCTTGCTCTTATTGGCATACGTGTTCGCTCAGGGTTCGGAGAAGGAGTCGACCAGTCAGCATCAGAGAATGAAATAGGCCATATTCATTAACTGTGGCTCAGACAGTGTAACATATGAATGCAGAAGTCATTTAGGAATTGTTCTATTATCTTGCACATATATAGTCATATACATGGATTTGGGGATATTTGTATTCACTATATCTAAGATCTTAAATGTTAATATATTTCAGAGTATGTGTTTGCAGATATATGGGACCATAAATAAAATCTTTGTTTTTTCACTGGATGTTGGTGTTTCAGGTCCTCACAGGAGCTCTTCTCTGTCGTCTCTTTAGGCTGCTTTCCGTCTCTTTCTTGTCATTTTGGTCTGTTCCTACAGGTTTTCTGTCTTTTTGTGGGTTGGGGTGTCATTTTTTTTTCCCTTTATGGTTGTTTTCCATCTCTTTGGGTCATTCATGTTCTCTTTATGCTTCTCTTCCATCATTTTGTGTCTTTTGTTTTCATGTTTTTACTTGATGCTTATTTCCCATGTCTTTGTGGTCTTTGTAAGTTTGTCTGGTCACAATCTGTTTTCATATGTTTTTGGTCTTTTGAGCTCATTTTTTGTCTCTTTGTGGTTATTTTCTATGACGTTATCATTTTTATCTCTTGGTAATTATTTTCATTGTCTTTTTGTGTCTTTGTGTTGATTTTTAGTGTCTTCATGGTTGTTTTCCATCCCTTTGTGTTAATCACTGGTCTTGTCACGGTTACTTTCCATCTCTTCGTGGTAACTCCTTGTCTTGTTTCAGGTATTTTCCATCTCCATGTTGCCATTCCTTTGGGTATATTGGTTGTTTTCCATATTTAGGCTGGTCTTTTTGTGTCTTTTGCTTTTGTTTATTGTCGCTTCATGGTTGCTTCACATCATTTTGTTGTCACTTTTCTTTCTGAAGTTCTTTCACATTCCGTTTTCATTTGTCTTTCGTGGTTATTTTCCATCACTACGGGCTCATTTCTTTTGGTTTCTCTGCATATTTCTGTTTGATTTGCATCACAGAAATAAAAATATATAAAACGGCATCTGCAGTACAACAGAGCAGCAGCAGAACTAAAACAGCAGCGTAAGTAATAAGCTATTCATGTTTGCCTAATAACATACAGTATTTGAAGTAATTGACATTTTTTAAAAAGTAAACGGCTCACTCCATCCACTAGATGGCACCAGTTGCTTTTCTGACTTTCAGTCAGAGTCTGTGTGTCGGTGGTGTTTTCCTCCTGGCCCACCGGTACCACTCGTAGAGCAAAGACATCCACAAGAAGACCTCATGAAACCAAAGTGGGAAGATGTTTTCATCCCTGCTGCCCAGAGCCGAGACAATGAGTGGATGTGAAACAAAAGCAGACAAATTGCTCCCAAGTGCATCCGTTGTTCGTCTACCAAGTGTTTTGTTTTTTTGTAATGATGACATTGTGACAAAGCCAGCTGTGCTGCAGCCCCGTGATCCCACAGCACACACTGTGTCACGTCTGTTTCCAGCTGACTGGAGAGCAGCTATGTGGTCACGGAGGGCCGGCGCTGTGGAGGAGGCGGCGGCTGCAGGGAGTGTGTGGAGGTGGGGGGGCGTTATCGGGGAAAACCCGCTCTGGGTTGAGGCTTCTGTGGGCCTCCACCTGACACAGCACTCAGCAAGACGCAAAAAAGTAGGAAATTCCCCTCCACGGTGTGATCTAACAAAGGAAGTATTCGCTGGCTGTGGAGGAATTTCAGCGCGACTTGTGCCAAGTGTGTGTGTGTGTGTGTGTGTGTGTGT